TGGTCAGATGGTCTTTGTTGCCACTGCGCTGCATCAGACCATCCACGCTGGTTTTCAAAGTTCATTTTTGCTTTTACACAAATATACCTGCCTCCCTTAGGTTTGCAAGACTTTATGGAATCCAAAAGTGGGATACATGGTGTGGTGTGTACCCACACTCCAGAAGCAAATGTGACCCAGCAGAGGCTGATGCTAGAAGCAGACAACAGAAGCAGATTTACAGACTAGGAATGCCATGCTAAGTGAGGAACGCGTTCTTCCTGCCAATAGCTGGGAAGTCTAAAAGGCTCTGAGGAAGGTTTCTTGTCCTTTTTCTTAAAAAAAAAATTCTGTTCTTTAGTAGAAAATGGGCAGTGGAGACATAAGCAATTAGATCCCTGAAGTCCAGCGGCGTGATGATGATGAGGGCCTGACCCATGGCAGTGGGTTGGGGATGGAGGAGGGACAGGTTTGATTTAGCAAATGATTGAAGTCCACAGAGTAGTCCCTTTCATTAGGGGACTTTCTCTATTTCCCCTCATTGGCCTAGGTCATGTCACAGCCCTGCAGAAATGTTTTTTGATCTGAGGTTCTGATTGGTCCTTTGTTTAAGGACAAATCCTCTTTGTGTGTATGGTATAAGCTGCTGTCATTGGTGGCTCACTTCTCTTCACTGAGGGATTGTAAACTCCTTAAGTTCAGAACTGTTTCATGGTGATCCAGACACAGATGTAACCCTGATGTAAAGGAAATGTCTGGATGCACTCCCATGTAGGCCGATTAAGATGAAATGAAAAGGCTGGGATGGAGGTGTAGCCTGGTCGTGAGCTGTAGTCCCGCAGTTCTATTCCCAGCTAATCAAAACAACACATCACGTCCTGGTAAACAGCCCAAATAGGCTAATCCTGGACCACTGAGCTCCAGCCCCAGCCTGGCTCCTCATTTTATTATTAAAAATCGAAGAAAAGAAAAAGTTGGCTCATATTGTCAAGAAATTAACATTAAATATAATTAGTGACATATTTCATTATCCATAAAAAAACCCTCCCATCACCGATTTTTATAGCTTCAGGACTGTTAATGTTAAATTAATGAGTTGTTGCCATTGGTTCCAGCTGTGGGAATGATAAAGGATCAGGCCCAGTGGGCCCTGGTCTCCCAGTGCCTCCTTTTGTCTGTCACACTTTTTGAACTTTAACCCACGGTATAAGCCATACAGAGTGGGTGTTAGGAGCAGCCTAGGCTTTCTGTGGCAATCCACAACAGCTGCTCTGCACCTTGCATCACTGCAGGCCTATGACACACACCCCACTCAGCTCTAGAGGCTTTGCTATAATCCCATCCCCAGGAATGTCAAGTCTATGGGCAGATCTTTTTTCTGAATCTGTGTTTCAAAGACCTGTCTGAGTGATTGTGTTGTTTGTTTGGACAGAATACTCATTGCTTAATTCCAAAGACAGAAAGGAACTAGGTCCACTGAAAGAAGATGCAGTATATCATGTGGAAATTCCTCTATGATAGAAAATTGGAAACTCTAGTTTGGGATTCTCATTTCTTGTTACGTGGGGTTGAATTGTCTAATATTGGCATTATTGATGATATCATCATCTCATAATTTGGGAGAGCTCAAAGTAAATTTTTGTGGTAACTTACAGGTGAATTAGGAATTCAAAATATGGGCTCAGTGGTTAAAAGCATATGCTATTATTGCAGAGGACCTGAGTTTGAGTCCCAACACCCTTGTTGGGTGGCTCACAGCCATTATAGCTCTTGCTTCAGGAGATGTGACACTTTTGGCCTATGCAGGTAGTGGCCCTCATGTTCACCTGCCATCATGCACATATAGTTAGAATAAGAATAAATCTTAGAAGATGAATTCACAACACTGAGGAGGTGGTTTTCCCTGGGCACAAACCCTACTTTACCTTTCGTTGATTTGTTTACATCCTTTCATCCTTGTACACCTTCAAATTCTACCCTTCTCAGAGGACAGAGGCAGAACAAGGCCACTCCTCAGTGTCCATGTTTCTCTCAGTATCCTTATCTTCTAAACTCCACACAAAGTTAGAAAAAATCCTAGGAAGAATTTTCATATACTGTCCACCCACATTATTGGCTTTTATCATTTTACACATATCGTCACAATATAATGACCAAAACCAGATAGTGAATATTGGTAAATTTTATGATTAAGTTTATAGGCATCCAAATTTTATTAATTGTTCCATTATTGCCCCTTTGGTTATCTGGATTCTAGTTCATGGCAGGATCAATTCTATTTCTTTGTTGTGCTGCACAGTTAATCTAGATTCGAGATGAGAGTTGGCAAACATGCTTTGTCAAGGCCTAGATGGTAAATATTTACATTCCGTGGGTCATGAGTGTCTCTAAGGGAACTAACCACTCAACTCGGCCAAACCCAGCCACAGGTACATAAACAGCTGTACGTGGCAATGTTCCAGTCAGTTCTGCATGGACACCCCCTTGTCCTCTGGTCAACTTTTTTGTGGTTTTGGTTATTGTGGTCAGCAATTGTCTAAAATACCAAATGGGAAATTCTAGAAACGAATAACTCACTAGTTGTAAATGGTGGCCCATTGTGGGTAGCGTGAGAAAATTTCGCAGTGTGAATCATCCCAGTCCAGAGCATCCACTCTGTGCACTACCTCCCTTCAGTCACATGGGAGCCAGCCTGGCTACCACATCACCTGGTACAGTACAACGCTTTTGTTCAACTAACTCAAAAGCCCAGAAGGACAAGAACAATGTGATGCTGCCAACCTGGAAAGGACAAAGAAGCCACACAGCACTTCTTGTTAAATGATGCCTTCCATCACCATAGGAAGAAGGGTAAGCATGCTCAGATAATCTGTTATTGGGGGGAAGGACTTTCATTACGCTATACTATACAGTGATGTGTTTCAGTACCAAGTTGAGGAAGGGTGGAATCGATATGGCTAAATTTGATTATAAATTTGACAGGATTTAGAATCTCCAGGGAAACAGATCTCTGGTCATGGTTGTAGGATACTTTCTAGATTAGATTTATTAAGGTGGCAAGACTCACTTCAAATACGGTTGGGACTATTCTATGGACTTGGGTCCCAGACCGGAAAAAAAAAAAAAGGTGGGGGATTGCTGAGCAGCGGCAGTACTCATGACCCCTGCTTCCTGACTGTAGATTCACTGTCTCAGAGTCCTGCTGCTGTGCTTTCCTCTACCCGGAACAGTGAGCCAAGACAAAGCCTTCCCTCCTTAAATTGCTTCTGGTAGGTATTTTACTACACAGCAACAAAACAAGTTAACTAATGCGCACATTGAGCAAAAACTTCAACAATTTCTAATGCCACACAAGTTTAAGCAGTTCTAGAAGATTTATTTTTATTAGTGTGTTGTGTGTGTATGCCTGTGTGAGTGAATACTATGTACATGCAGGTGCCTAATGAGGCCAGAAAAGGGCACTGGATCTCTTGGAGCTGAGATGACCTACCTGACATGGATGTTGGGAACTGGACTCAGGCCTTCTGGAAGAGCAGCCAGGGCTCTTAGCTGCTGAGCTGTCTCCCCAAGGTCTCACTTGCAGCCTAGGCTGGCTTTGAACTCATTAAGTAGCTTATGCTGTAGCCACAGCTCCAACCTGTGATCCTCCTTCCTCAGTCTCCTGAATGTTAGAATTACAACTTTGTGCTGCCATGCCTGAGGACTAGGATTAAAATTCAGTTTCTTGTTGAATTAAGACTCAAGACCCAGTGTACCTGCCCCTCTCCTGCCTGCCCCCCGCCCTCCTGTGAACCAGTTTGCTGTCTCAGCTCTAGTACTTGGGTCTGTCTTATGCACTGAACTCTGTAGTGTAAATGCAGAATGCTCCCACCTACTGACCAGGTTTGCAGGTGGCCTGGGACTAGGTCTGTCCTCAGGGATTTTATGAATTGTGACAAGAAAAGTATTCAGAGTCTACACCCACATCAGATGATAGTGATGAGCTAGAAAGCCTGATGAGTCTTTCAAAGAAGTTCCATTCCCCACAACTTCTCCCCGTGGAGTCTAAATCCCCTTTGCATATTCTCTTAGTCCTTGCAATGCTAATGCTAATGTGGACGAGGAAGTCATAATGCCATCTTCTAGATTAGAAAATGAAAACTTGGCATTCTGATTTGCATAGGGACATATGCTCATAAAGCCCACCTTGTTATAAGCAGGTTGGTTTTTGCTGAATTATCTATCAAAGGTTGTAAGTACTGGCTGAGCATCCTTCCTCTGGTCTTCAGAATCAGAAGCGGTCCAAAGTCCAAAACTATGTGAGTGTCAACATAATTGCTGCAAAACCGAAACTTTATTTCATGAACAAAAGTAATAAAAAGTATTGTATGAAATATTTTCCGACTTTGTGTCTAGGATTTGTAAGAAACGTAAATGAATTTTGTGTTTCGAGTGCTCGAGTTTAGCATTTGGCTTTACTCTAAACACATTATATATGCACAAATATTAAAAAATCTGAACTCTGAAGCAGTCTGGTCCCAGACATTTTGATGAAGTACCTGCAACTTGTCACGTGACAGGGGCACTGTTTGGAGCCACACACACTTCTGACATCACAGTCTCAAATCCTCTGCTATTTCCTAACTCTCTTTTCCACACGAATGAAAAAGTAATCAAAACATACATATACCAATAAATGAAGCCAAAGGCAGCCCCTGGTTTGGGGAATCCTGACTTCCTTGGGTCTGGGCAGCCCCTTTCACAATTCATACTTTTTTCCACTTCAGTACCACTCATCTTAAGGCGACCTTGAGAAGGAAAAGTGTGCTGCCATAGCCACAGAAATGGCCTTGACTGAGAGGAGGGCAGAGTTCAAGGGATGAGGCTTTAGTGGGAGGAGCAGAGATAACCTTTGACTCCATTTGGATGCTGACAGGGAAATCAGACACATAACCACTTCTATGGTGAATTCAGAGCGTTTCTGTGTTTGCTAAGAGGATACTGCATAGCATAACAAAATAATTTACCCAACAAAATTATTCTTTTGCTATTTTAATTTTACAAGATCACATTAGAAATTGGTAATTTTTAATAAAATGTCAATGTAATTACATGAAAACATATTATTTTAAAGAGATCCATGCTAAAGTGAATAGATTAGATTTAACATACACAACAATAGTAAAAGAAATCATTACAAATGAATATTTGAGCAATAATAACAACCACAAAAGTATATTAAGCAATTGGGCAAAACCTTGTTAATCGCAGAATTTGGGTGGCAGATAAGTGGGAATTCATTTATATTATACTATATACTAACTAGTATGCAGTTTGTATATTCCTGACATTCCCCATAATAAAGTTTAAAATAAATCAAAATTCTAAGAAAATGTACAGAGAAGGCAAGAGTATTTCTAACATTCTCAAGCTGACCTTTAATTTGTCTTAATCTTTATTAAAATAAAGCTATAGCTTCAAGTTATATTACAGAACTTCAAGGAGGTTACCTAAGCTCCCAGAACCCCAATTGTTAAGTCCTTTAAGTTGCTAGAAAGTGGTTAAAAATGACATGAAATTCAACAAATAATGAGGAGGAGGGCAACTTGCCATAGCCTATTGTGGGTCCTAAGGTGCATAGTCTAAATCAGTGGTTCTCAGTTTTCCTAATGCTGCAACCCTTTAATATATTTCCTTATGTTGTGGTGAACCCCAACCATAAAATTATTTTGTTGCTACTTCATAACTGTAATTTTGCTACTGTTATAAATTGTAATGTAAACATCTGATATGTAGGCTATCTGATGCGTGATCCCCCAAAAGGTGTCTTGACCCATAGGTTGAGAACTGCTGGAAAATCTGGGATTTTTTTGGCTTAAAAAATAAAGCATCCAAAATAGGAAGGAAAAAATACATTGGTATTTACTAAAAATAATATAATAATGACATATGATATGATTTATAAAATAAAACAATATGTAGCAATAAATTGTTACTATATACCTTAACTATTTTATGTACGATAACTGGTATGAACTCCTAACTATATGAGATAGATTCTGGGCCGCCAGCACCATGGTTCTATCTATCTCTGTATGCTGATGAGAAAATAGCCCTTGCCATGTGACCCCCAGCCTTCTTTCTGCAGGTAAGTCAGACCAGGCTGTGCTGTGCTGTGGTAACAAATCACTTGCTCAACCAAGCAGTAGTCCTCTATGTCTTTCATGTCACTGATATTGTGAAACAGACATCTAGTTATACAGCTGCCAAGTTGCTACAACAGAGTAGGGAAGAACCGGAAGGAGATCTGGCCTGGAAATAGCCATGCATCCCTTTTACACCTTTGCCCATTGTTTAGAACTTGTGTTAAATAAATGCCCCCCAGGAGAGTGAGAAGAGACACAGTTGGGCATTGCACAGCTCTGGCTCAAGTGAGAATGTGACAAATAGGCTCCCTATCTACACCTGAACATGCTGTAACTTCTCTCTGGAAAAATCCAGGAGGCTTCAGAGAGATGTGCTGTTTATGATGGATCTCCTAGAGGAAAGAGCAGCTGGAAAAACCCTGTTGAGAGTGGAGATACCATGTAGATGAAGCAAGAAAGAGAGTACTAGATGGGCTAGAAGTCTGTTTGCCAGACAGACTAGGAAGCCATGGAGGATGACGTCACATCTTCACTAGTCATTTAGGGACAGTTGCACACTAAGGGATTTTAGACTACAGTTAAAGTCTTTGAAACTTGAATTGACAGAGAGAAGGATCATCTAACCATGCCGTACTGTGGATGAACATTTCTTACACAGTGGTAGAGGAAAATTTCCCCCATATTCATGTAGGTAAAGGAACCAGGACTTCAGGATTCCTGAGTCATAGATCAGATTATGTGCAGCAACCCCTGTGAGGGCATGCATTTGGATGATTCATCTGGAAATGCTGCACAGAATAGATATGGTGATGGTTTTAGAGAATTTTATGCTTTTTTTTTTTTTTTTTTTTCCTAAAGGAAAGGGGAAAACCTTTGAATGAGGCTAGTTACTGAGAGGAATGGAGAACTGTATGATCAGATTCCATGTATGAAACCAGCTCTTCGGCTAAAGTGCCGTGGTTGCTGGCTGGGTGCTGCAGTCTTTCTTACGCTTCCCCCCTGCCATGCTGTGAGGAGAGACTGAGAGTCTTTGGCTGGGTGGGAACATTCAGCTCTGTCATGGGAAGGAAGATATTTCCATGCTCCTGTGGCCATACATACAGACATGTCAACACTCTTCACACTAGTAAAAAACAGAACAAAACCCCACACGGCTTTGCTTAATATTTATCTGTCTTCTCTATTTCCTATCTTACTTGATCTAACCCAGGAGAAGGGTGGTTATTTATTACCTTCATCTAACTGTGATGATGGAGGAGAGACTGTTGAAGGAGAATCCTAGAAGTTTGGACTCTTGACCACCCAGGTCAGCTTCTTTAGTGAGGAGAAAACTAACTGAGCTCCCAAAAGTTTGAATAGCTGAGGTCATAATTGCAGTTGAGTTGTGTAGGATCTAGTTCATGGATCTTTCTCCTACTTGATTATGGGTTAGATAGTGTTGGGAAAACAATGACCTATAAAACAAACATGAATAAGAAGCCAGCTGGCAAGGCTTGGTCATACATGCCTTTAATCTCAGCACTCCTGAGGTTGAGGCAGGAGGTTTGTGTGTTCAATGCCAACCTGGGCTATATAGTAACACCCTGTCTTAAAACAAAAACAAAGCAGCAGCAATAGAAAGAAGCCAGCAGCATGAGTAATTAATTGGAAGTGGAAGTTTAGGGTGAGAGTACATTGGACGTAGGACATAGAAAAGCCATCCTGATCGACCAGAAACTTCTCCCTATTGATTAGCTTTTTTTTTTTTTTTTAGCGTTGGAAGGTGGTATGTGGGCTGATGGGAGAACAAAGCACCAGACCCTGCATGCAATGCAATAGTACTAACCTACCAGTCAAGATGCTGCAACAGTGGTGACATTGTTTATGGTGGCAGTCAACTGTTGTCTTGATTGGATTTGAGGCCTGTGTCACAGGAGAGAATTCATGCCTGGAGCTCTAAACACAGTCAAAGTACATGGGCTGGGGAAGTCATAGGTCCAAGGGGGAAACTTTCGGTGTTTTACTAAATGGTCATGTTGCCAAATGCTTTTTAAATATCTGTGTTTTTATCCATAGATGAATGTAACTCAACCTTGGTGGGAGAAGCTTCTCGAATTAGTGGGTGGTGGTTAATGTAGAGATTCAGAACTGTTCTAAGTGCTGAAAAGAAATGACTGTGAGTGTTCAGCCGTAGGTGGTACATCTGTATGAACTATCCCCCCTCAAGGTTTGGGGAACATCTCAGAAGAGTGGGTAGAAGGAATGTAAGAGGCAGAGAACGGGTAAGGGTACCGTGAAGTACTGTGCTATGGACATTCGCCTAGACTAGGGCAAGATTAAGCTACTTAAAAATCCCAACATGGAGGTGGGAAGGGTTCTTGCGCTTCCACCCTGGCTGAGGAGCTCTTGGTTTAATGGCTGCCACAGGAGGAGAGTCATTTGTCTTTGAGGGGTAGTCTATGGTAGGTTGTCCATGTACCAGTAGGTAACCGTACACTAACTGGACTCAGTGGATTGTTAGAAGCAGGGGGAAGGGAACTTTAAGTGGGAGGGGAGATATCCTGGGCCAGGTGGAGATTAAGGGAGGAATTGGGGGGGGGTAATGTTCAAGATATATACATCCATGAAATTGGGAGTAAAGATATATAGCACATGTAGAAATATTGGTAAATGTATTTTATTATTTAAAATAAAAATTTTGGACCACTTGGAGCTTGGCGTGTGGTATGAAGTGAGTATGCTGTCAGGGCGTAGTCAATTGGAAAGACCATCATTCGTCCTCACTGATTTGAAATACCACCCGTGTGCCATGTCACCCCTTACATATGCTAAGAGCTGTTTCTGAGTTTCCTTTCCGTCCTGTCTGAATATATATTAACCCATTCCACTTCATTGTAGGTAAGATTTGATTTCACATGGAAACCAACATGGACAAAAAGTCAGGCACTGAATACAAACAACCCAGGTTTGAACCCAGGGTGCATCTTGTGGATATATGCTCTCCCCCGCCCCCGCCCCCGAGGAAGTGATCATGTCTCTTTGAACTTTGTTTTACTCTCCCGGAAAATGATAAGGACTGTCCCTACCTCCCAGAGTTACCTTGAGTCAGAGAACACACATGTCATTGACCACTCTGATGCACAAAGGTAGGAAAAGTACTACCGTTGAGACAGCTCTGAGTGGTCAGGTGAGATGTGTAGGAACAGAGGGCACCTGTCATCACAAACAAACAAACAAACAAACAAACAAACAAACAAACAAACAAGAGTTCTAATTTTGACCCCATGCTTCCGTTTTCCCATCTATCACTCTGTGTTAATGCCTACTTGCTGGGAGAGGTGAGCCTAAAACAAAACAGCCTGTACTGTGTGAGCCTTGGCCTGATTTTTGCTTGATGGGGCAAAGGTAGATACACCATATGGAGTTGATGCTGAACTGGGAATAACTAAAAAAGCGTTTGAAATTTGTACATTGACTTAGGAAATCTAAATCTTAACATTTCATAAATATATGTACTTTGCAATTTATAGTACAATGGCCTCCTGGAGAGGATTATAAAGTGCTAATAATTTTTATTATCTGATGCCACCTGGCGTCTTTTGAAAGTTACTACAACCTACATTTGTGAGGGTTTTTTATTTGCATGTCATGCTACTGGAGTTGGAGCTTGTGATTCTCCTGCCTCAGCTAAAATCACAGCCGTGTGCTCACTAGGCCTGGCTTATCCTTGTGGATTTTTAGTAAAAATGAAAAACATAGCTAATATTTCATAGGCTTTTTTTTCTGTGCTAGTCACATGTAAAAATCTGTTGTGTTTGTTTGCATGTTACTGAACTAATTCAATAAATACTTATTGAGAAATGTCTGTGTTCCAGTAAATTAGGTAGTATATGATGTTATCATCATGGCATCTATCTTGGTGGGTTTTAATGTTCTCCATAAGATTCAGTGAGTTAATGTGGATGCCCAAGTTCACACAGCCAGAGATCCTTATGCTGACCCATGAGACAGTTACCTCTCATTGTCTCTATATAGTAATAATCTACTCTAGATAACTTGTGTAGCGATTTTATTATAATAATAAATTAATTAATATTAGCAAATATTCTTTGGGCTGAATGGAATATTCCATTTCATTTCTCTGTTGCCTTTATACGTGTGCCTCTTTGAAAGGTCTTTGGAGGTTGTTCTCAGGGTGGCAATCTTTATTCTTGACATATTACCATTGACTTACATTTTGTGTCACACTGCTTGACGGAAACAATGAGAGCCTTAAGCTGCATGACTTTATACACTACCTGTTATAACACTGTCATGTAATTTTACACCCACGTTTATAACCCCCCGCACAACGCAATGTTTTAGTAAATTTTACTTCAAACAGCCATCTGTCTCTTACTATTAAGGAAAATAAGGTGACAGCTGCCACATGTACCCATCTATTGAGTGCTTTGGAGCCTTCTATTTTCTTGTAGTTAATTTTTTTCAACTATTTTTATTACCATTAATTTTTGCGTGCATGCGTGCATGCCTGAGGGCATGGGGAAGTTACAGGATGTCTTAGTGGAGTTGCGTTTTTTTCCTTCCACCACGTGGTTGGGCTCCGGGGATCAGATCTTAAGGTTTGCACGGCAAGCCCCTTTTCTTGGTGAGCCCTCCTGTCAGAACTATCATCTTGTGTTTGGTGTCATTTTCTTTCTTATATTTGTGATCCAGGAATTTGACACCGCTCTCTCTAGTGAAAGTTTTCTTTTTAAAATCTATTTTCAAAGAGTTTACCTTTTGGTTTCACCGTCTTTTCTCTGGTGTCTTCTACTCTAACCTTTGCTAGTTCCTTCCTTCTTTTCCCTCTATGCTTGGTTTTTCTCTTCTTTCCCCTGGTTTTAAGGCAGGAATTCGGGGGACTGCTCTGAGATTGTTTTTACTTTCAAGTGGACATTTTCAACCATATTTTCCCTTCTCAATATTATTTTTGCTGAGTTTATGTCCTATGAATTTAAATGTGCTGTGTCTTCACTGTCCTTCATGGCAAAATGTTCTCTAGCTTCAATTTAGATTTCCCTCTTTAGCCGTTCACTATTTAGGAGTGCGTTGTTTAATTCCACACACTCCTGAGTTTCCCAGAGTTCTTTCTGTTATCAATTTCTAATGTCAGCCCACTGCATTCTGAAGACATGCTTCGTATTTTCTATTAATTTGTATTAAGCCTTGTTTTGTGGTCTTAACACACAATGTATCTTAGAGATCGTCTCTCACAATGCTACATTGTTTTCAAGAAGAGTCTATTCTAAAAGGTCTAGTTGATCTGTAGGTGTCTTCAAGCCCCCAGTTTCCATGCTGATCTCTTGCCTAACTGTTCTATCCATTATTGAAAGGAGAGTGCTAGAGGTTCTACTATTGCTAATTTCCTATGTATCTCTCATTTCTGGAAATATTTGCTTCATGTATTTTGGTGTTCTGTTGTTAGGTGCATGAATGCTTATGGTTATTATATTTTCAGATGGAGTGAAAACCCCTCTGTTGTTTTAAAATATCCCTCTTTGTGTGCTGCAACATTCAGTTACATGGGTTAGTTTTTCTGTCACTGGTACAGTCATTCTACCTTTCTTATAGTTGTTGTCCACATGATGTAGTTTCATGCTGCTTAATGGCTGGGACACATTTGGAGAAATTCATCACTAGAGAGTTCCTGCATTCTGTGAACATCATGTGTGCATATACAAACACAGATGGGGTAGGCCAGTCATTTGGTGTGGCTTCAGTGCAATGAAGATGTGTGTGGCTGGTATGGCACTGTGTTCTGTTTCACATAGGTGCTGTGGGATGGTCTGTATGTCAAATGTGTTGTTGATTGGTCAATGAATAAATCACTGATTGGCAGTGGCCAGGCAGGAAGTATAGGCGGGACTAACAGAGAGGAGAATTGAGAGAACAGGAAGCTGGGTGAGAGAGACACTGCCAGCCGCCATCAGGATAAGGAAGATGTAAAGTACCGGTAAGCCACAAGCCACGTGGCAAGGTATAGATTAATAGAAATAGATTAATTTAAACTGTAAGAACAGTTAGCAAGAAGCCTGCCATGGCCATACAGTTTGTAACCAATATAAGTGTCTGTGTTTACTTGATCGGGTTTGAGCGGCTTGGGACTGGCGGGTGAGAGAGATTTGCCCTGACTGTGGGCCAGGCAGGAAAACTCTAGCGACACACAGGTATAGTCCACAATGATAAAATGTATAATATCCTGCATACACAGCTGTTTATTATCACTATGAAGCATTATGTGCTGTATATAATTGTACGTTATACTTTTATCTATAGCTGGCAGTCAGGTAGGTTTGTTTACACAGCATCTCCACAAACATGTGATTAAAATGTTACAGTACAGTGTTACAAAGACTAAGACATCATTAAGCAATAGAAAATTCTCACCTCCGTTATAATCTTACGGGACCACTGATGTTTCAATAACTGTCACTTCATTACATAGCACATGACTGTGTATTTTCCTTTTTATTTTTGATGTTGTTTTATGTATGAAGCTGTGTATCTGCCTGTGCATACGCACATGTGTGCCAGTGCCAGAGGGTGCAAGAGGGCACCCGGCTCCCTGGAGCTGCAGGTGGTTTGTGAGCTGCCCATTGTGGGTGCTGGGAACCAAATTTCTTCTTTAGTCTTTTATTCTCTTTCTGCTCCTGTTGAAATGATTATGGTTTGATTTTTTCCCATTACATTAATATAAATAATCACATGGACTGATTTAAAATGTTAAACAAACTTTGCATTTTCATGATTATTCTTATTTGGTCATAAAATTACATTTATGTATTGCTTTATTATATTCCCTAGAATTTTGTCAAAGAGCTTTATATCTATTTATGGGAAAATTTCTTAGTTTTTCTTTTTATAATGTGTTACATGATTTTAATATCTGAGTAATTCTGTCATCATAGAATGAGTCAGCAAATGTTATTGTTCATTTAATATCTTTGTTTTTGTAAAAGTGTTTTACTAGGTAGTGTAGCTAGAGTTTTCCTGCCTGGCCCACAGTCAGGACAAATCTCTCTCACCTGTCAGTCCCACAGCTGTTCAGACCCAACCAAGTAAACACAGAGACTTATATTGGTTACAAACTGTATGGCCGTGGCAGGCTTCTTGCTAACTGTTCTTACAGCTTAAATTAATCCATTTCCATTAATCTATACCTTGCCACATGGCTCATGGCTTACCGGCATCTTTACATGCTGTTTCTCATCATGGCGGCTGGAAGTGTCTCTCTGACTCAGCCTTCCACTTCGCAGCTCTATTCTCCTCCTTGTCCTGCCTATACTTCCTGCCTAGTCAATGGCCAAACAGTGATTTATTTATTGACCAATCAGCAACACATTTGACATACAGACCATCCCACAGCAAGGTAGTCTGGGCTAGCCTTGAACTCGTCAAATAGCCCCAAACATCTTTCAACTCACGATCCTCCTGCTTCCATGTCCTGAGTACTGAGACCACAGGTGTGTGCCACTACTCCTGGACCACTTGGAATTTTTGAAAGTAGAATTGGCACTGTTTCCTCCCTAAAATTTTGTCAGAATTTACTTATGAAGCCTTCTGACCTTAGAGGGTTTTAAAAAATTGTTGTGACTTGTAAAGCATGGGTTTAGTTTACTCAGTAGATACAAGACTATTCATTTTACCTTCTTCCTCTAAACAAAGCTCGTTATGATGCTCTTTGTTTTTGTGAGCTGACCACTCGGTTTGTTCAACTTTCCTGCAGTAATTTGTATTCCATAGTCAACCATAAACTATGGAGTGTATATAAACTACATATGTTTAATTGCTCCTTTTTTATAAAATTCCTTTTTTTAAAGAGAAGTTGTAGGGCTGGAAGAATAGCTTGGCTGTCAATCATTGAGTACTGCTCCTGCACAGGACCTTGGTTTGGTTTCTACCACCTCCATCAGGTGGCTCACAGATGCTTATAACTTTCAGGGGATCTGTGTCATCTCTTGACTCCTTGGCCATATGTGCTATCATCTGGGCACACACACCTAAACACAGGCACACAGATAAACACCTTTAAGTAGATGCCAGAGATTCAAATTTGTGAGGTTGCCATGTCTTTATAAAAGGATATCAAGCAGCCCACTAGTGACAAAGTTCCAGTGTCAGAGGAAGGAATTTCATTGTGGGTTGTACAGGTGCCTCACGGCAGAGTGGCTGCATGGCTGGCCATTCTGTCTTTGAGCTTCCAATGGCCAGCTTCCCCCTTAGGTGGGAAGCAGTCCTCTGACTTATTCTTGGGCAGTGTTTTCACTTTGTGTATATAGAGTCTTTGCCAATAAGATGCCTTTTCCTCCAATGAGGACACGGCAATCAAGGGCAGCCAGGTTTTCTCCCAGAAACTGAATCTTTTGTGGACTCACTCAAGATAGATTAGATCGTTGGGACTAACTCATGGCACAGGTTTCACTGTTCTCTAACACCGTCCCCTGCGTCGTCCCCTGCATCTCTGGAGGTCGTCTTTCTTCTACTCTTTGTGAGGCTGTTTGTTTCTTTAACTTATGCTGTTCATCCCATATTTTCGGAAGTCATTAACTTAGTGAGAGATTGTTTCAATAGTTGTGACCCAATAATTCCAGATGTTAAAAGGCTGAATCAAGAAGGCAGCGGCCATTCTTTTCTGTAGGGAGAGTGCATTATAGTGCGTGTAAAGGCTTAAGGGATTTGTAGGTTTGTCTATGATAAATAGACCGTAAAAATATGTTTCTCTACTTTGGGCCCAATAAGTAAGAATTTCTCAGTGGGAGGCCTAGATCACCTAACATGTGAACAAAGTTCTCAGGGATTCCCTTACAAAATTAAATTGGAAAGCAGCACAGGGTTTGGAAGCTAAGAAGCAGCTACTGGTAAGCTTTATCCTGCCTAAGCTGAGGCTAGCCAGTGAGATGCTTAGTTCTTATTTTCTCATCAGTAGTGTGGGTGCAGAAAGACCCTGTTCATTTGGAGGATGTATGCAGACCAAAGGTATTTTCCTGTTGCCAGCACAGGTGAGTCACATCAGTGTTGAGATCCTAAAATGTAAGTTTAAGGTAAAGATTGTGTGAAACAAAATACAGTCCCAAATCATTTAAATCTGCAGTAATGTGTGGCCCTATATATGTACTATGTTACTAAGTATATTACTGAGAACTTTCCCCAAAGATCATAATAGATTAGATCAGCTGAACAACAGATAAAGGACTTGGTTTGCACTGATAAATGATGTTTGATACAAACCAAACCCCAAACAAAAGCACAATCCAGTGACACATCCGAAGTTTACTTTTCACCCCTGGTCCATGCCAGACAAGGGAGACTATATAAAGCATTGGACCAGGAACATGCCTGTGGATGTTGTAGTCTTTGAGATATTATTACTTGATGAGGTAGAGGAAGAGAACTCAGAGAACTGCCCCCGAGCTCTTACATTTCTTATCCAGGAGTAACTGTATACACTTATGCTCATATCCATTGGCAAAGCAAATCTCATTGCCATAGTTGATGCCAGTTGATTGAGAAAATACAATCTGCTTGAGTTCTTAAGCGCAGGGTGAGTAGGGCTGGTAACACAGCTCAGTGGTAGTATACTTGTCTAGAATGTGTAAAGGCCTTGGTTCAATTCCCAAAGGTGTGAAGAATAAAAGATGGAAGGAATGGAACTATTTGTATTGTTAATGCTTCTGCCACATGGGGCATGCATATTGTATGTGTATATGTATCTAATGTGAAGTATAGGTTGGGAACCACTATTCACCTTTGTCTTGGGGTGGCTTTACATTCTGTGGGGAAGTTGTCAGCAGTCACTAATGGTGACCATGGTTTACTGGGCCCTGTGCTCTTTTTTCCATTGACACACTGGTCCCCACCAGGTCTTCCTCACCCCCACAAGCACTCTAGTTCAAATGAAGTCAGTGGGTAGAAGGTAAAAAGTAAGATGTTGATTTTAAAGTTGACAATGCTGGATGTAGTAATCTTGGTTGGCAGTTATTCTCAAAAATGTCATTTGGTTTCAATGTTAATGACTGTGTAAACATCAATTTTAATTAATATTTCATGGATCTGGCAGTATTCACACATTGTCATTGAAATTAAAACAGTCACCACTGGCCATGACATGTCTTTTTTTTTTTTTTTTCCTTTTTTTTTTTCTTTTTCGAGACAGGGTTTCTCTGTGTAGCTTTGCGCCTTTCCTGGATCTCGCGCCGTAGACCAGGCTGGCCTCGAACTCACAGAGATCCGCCTGGCTCTGCCTCCCGAGTGCTGGGATTAAAGGCGTGCGCCACCATCGCCCGGCGTCTTTTTTTTTTTTTTTTTTTAATTAACATGTTTCTTTGAAACAATGATCATATACCTAGGCAGAAACTACTATTTGGATATGAGCCCCTCACCCCCATCTCCCAGCTTAAATCTTCCTGACAGGCTAAGCGCCAACTGCAGAAAATGCCACTTTGAAGAACGCCATCTCTGCAGTGAATGCACTTATGTTTTCTGTCTGAGCAGGATGAGTCAGGTGCCTGGGAGGCTGACCACTATCCATCCTGAAGCCCCATAGGACATAAAAATGCACAAAGATTTCTGAGATATGGGAAGGGTGTGGTAGCGGGAGCTCCTATGTATGAGGTGGTGTAGGTGGCTCAGATGCATGGGTTGGCTCAGAATTATGTTGGCAGAAACAGTGCCTGGTACAAGCAATGCCCTCAATGCACATATTGAACAGCAGACTCAGGTAACTAAAATGATAAAGATCAAAATAAAAAAGCAAACACCACTCACAAAGGCAACAAAAAATTAGCAGGACCTAGATAAATTCTCCTAAGAGGTTTCCCTGATATTGTTCATTCACTTTACTTTATTATAATAATTTACTCTTCAGGTTCTCAATGTGTAGCCCAGGCTGGCTTTAAACTTGTGTTCCTCCCACTGTGGCCTCTCAAATAGCTGGAGTTGTTGGTGAGGTGCATGCCACAGTGAGGTGCATGGCACAAGCTTTGCTTGGCTGTTGTTATTGGTGGGTAGCTTATTACTTCTCAAGACAGAATACCCAATTAGACATTATTTACATTGAATGAGAATTTGCTTTTTCCTGTTTATTTTGTCAATTTGAAAGCTGTCCTTGCTGAATCTTTATTGGTGGTTATTTGCTTTCAGGGCTTGAAACACACCATTCAATGCTTTTGTGGCTTTTAGGATTGCTGGTCGGAGGTCTGATGTGATTCTGCCTATGTAAGTAAGTTGGTGTATTTCTCTGTGCAGTCAGACATTTTCTGTCCCAGCAGCCACTCCCATATAACCGACACTTAATATTAATTATAAATGCTTGGTCAATAGCTCAGGTTGCTTACTAGCTAACTCTTACATTTTAAATTAACCCATATTTCTTATCTAAATTCTACCAAGTGACTCATGGCTTGTTACCTCATTTTCTACACGTCCTGCTTCCTCTGCGTCTGACTCTAGACTCCTCAGACTCTGCCCTTCTTCTTCCCAGCATCCTCCTAGTCTGGCTCTCTCATCTAATCTCTCCTGCCCAGCTATAGGCCAGTCAACTCTTTATTAACTAATGAGAGTAATACATATTTCCGGTGTACAAAGATTGTCCTAAAGCATTTTTCCATCTTTGTCTAATTAAAAAGGAAGGTTAGCTTTAACATAGTAAGATTACATACAACAAAAATAGTAATCAGGTAAGAATCACAGTTATAATATCCAATCCATTTGTATTTGGCAAAATTAGAGAAAGTATTATTTATCTTATCTTTGTGAATCTAAAGTTTTATACCTAGTTTACCTTTTATCATAACGAAGGAAAACTTTAAGTCTTATTATTTAGTCTTTAACTCCATCAAAGATCCCAGAAGGGTGAAATGTTACCTAACAACAGGGTCATCAGGCTGCCTGGACAGTCACTGAACGTTCTTCTGTAACACTGGGGCATCCATCTTTGGCCTTCAGGCCTGGCATATCTGATAGACATTTTTGAGAAGTAGGGAATTATAGATGGAAGTTTCTGTCCCTCCTGGTCCCACAGCTGTTCAGTCCCAAATAAACACATGGAAGTTTATATTAATTGTAAACTGTTTAGCCTATTGCTCAGGCTTATAACTAACTAGCTCTTACACTTAAATTAACCCATAATTCTTATCTATGTTTAGCCATATGGCTTGGTACCTTTTCTCAGTCTAATTCTCATGTTAATTCCTCTGTATCTGACTGACAACCCCATCTCTGCCTTTCCTCTTCCCAGAATTCTCCTAGTCTGGTCACTCTGCCTGTATTTCCTGACAGCTAGATACAGAGGAATTAACATGAGAATGCCCTACTGAAAAAATTACTAAGCCACATGGCTAAACATAGATAAGAATTATGGGTTAATTTAAGTCTAAGAACTAGTTAGTAATATTAAGCCTCTGAGTCAATTATTTGGGAAGTGGCTTGTGGGTATTTGGGAACAGGAGAGAAACTTTGCCTACAGGGACATCTTGAAGGACTGTCCTTCCTTGTCTTGGCAAAGTTTAGCAGTCACTTTCTTTGCATCCTGCTGGTCCAGTGTGGACAGTATACTGTCAGCAATTGAGGCAAGAGCAGGTTTTTTTTGCCCAAATGACTAGCTTTGGCTATAAAGAAAGTAAACTCCATATGTAGTTCCTTCAATGCCCATCATCTTCTCTGTAGTAGATCAGTGCTGCCAGGAGCAGCCGTGTCTCACCGTCACGAAAGGCCTTAGGTTATTAAACAAATTAAATGGCATATTTTGTAGGTCTTTGAAGTGTTTGAAGACAATCTATCTATCTAAATATATCCGTGCATCACCTTGAAAACATACACGACTATAAGTTTGACTATTATAGATGACTATTAATCTATATTTCTTAATTATACATTACATTTTTTTTTTTTTTGGTTTTTCAAGACAGGGTTTCTCTGTGTAGCTTTGTGCCTTTCCTGGAATTCATTGGTAGCCCAGGCTGGCGTTGAACTCACAGAGATCTGCCTGGCTCTGCCTCCCGAGTGCTGGGATTAAAGGCGTGCACCACCATCGCCTGGCTTATACATTACATTTTTAAATGAGTTGTATAAGCACAATACCCCAAATAAGAGTAGAAACATACATACAGTATAACAAAATTAACTTTAAATTTGTATCAATAAACCAAAATCCATACCACTGTAAAATATTTTGAGATTAATAGTTGTTTTTTGGATTAAAGTAGATTCAATAATCTACCCTTTTTCTTTTCAGAATAAGATCCTTTGTTCAGTTTTTTTTTTTCTGACCATTACCAATAACAGCTTGTAACCACCTCCCCCGCTTAAATAATAACAAACATACACACCAATATTTTGGGCATGTGGGTGTCATTCTTTAGACTACTTCCTGTTGTCTGGAGCACTGGTATCTTTGGGGAACCTTGAGAAATTCAGGATAATTGTTAGGTCTTGGCTGGAGTAGTTTGTGAGGTTGGTCCATCTCAGCCAGCAGCCTAGAAGCTGTTTTGGATGCAGAATTCTGAGGAGACTGTAACAGAGGCATTCTGAGATGCTGGATCATCTGGGCTACCTGTTTTCATTGGTGTGTGGTCCCCTTGTTCTGAAAATACATAAACTTTTAAAGGTAACACATATTACATGTATGGAATATGTGGTGTGCACAAGTCAGTTAAAGATGATTTTTGTTTTAGATTTGAGTAGGTGAAATATACGTTACATGTCTTGTAGTTCTTCTTCTTCTTCTTCTCTTTTTGTAGCCAGGATTTCAGGGAGTCTTCCCCAATCAAAGCTGATTTTCTTTAATCTGGAATGAATCCACGGCTTCTCATCTCCTGTGGAAATAAAAGCATAACCTGTCCCCCAAAGCAACATACCTTCTGACTCAAATTCTGAAGTAAAGATATTTAAAAATATATAGGTTGGTATAATATAGCAGTTTCCATAATGCAGTGTTTCTTAGTAGTTATCACTCATTTATTAGCAGTCAAAAATTTAAAGACAACACAATAATATACAGGATCCAGGCTCTGTGCATTTACCATTTTTACATGGCTTTTTTCTTTCATATTACTTTACTCTCTTTTTAAGGACTTTACTATTTTAAAACTATATATTTTTTTGATTGTCAATATCCTTTTTCTTTTCTCTCCCAAGCCTTTGCACATTTTTTTTAAACACACTGCAACCCGTTTAGAGGTTTTTTTTTTTCCATCTGGATCCGTCTTTACTGAGTATCTATAACCTTTTCTGTCTGCATAAGCTTTTAAAGGGATAAGCGGCATGGCTAGGACCTCTGCCTCTGATTTGGCAGCTGGCTTCTCCCCCCGTTGGTTCCCTGAGAACCTAACTTTATGGCAGAGGTATTGGCAGGAGCCACATTTACTGCCCTAGCTCTGGGAAGTTGCTAGGTTCATGCTGTCGCCAAGAAGCTTACCACCTGCTGCTCATAAACCCCATTTAAGTGTTTGGTAGCAGGGTCTCTTAAAAGAGCTGCACCCATTTTTTGCTGCTAGCACCAAGCCAGGAAGCTGTCTCTTAAAGGAGTCGCCTCTGCTTGCCACTATCAAATAGAGCCTACCCAAGAAAAGGCAGTTAAACACCAAGAAGCTGAGCTTGACTCTGTTTTTGTGTGTTTAGAATCCTTTTGAAAGCTTTGTTAGGTCTTATGTGGAAATTCTGGCCCCATGTTGGAACTCCAGGTGAAGCCTTTATCTAATTATTCTTTATCAATAAAATATTGGGAGTCAGACAGATATCAGGGTAAGAAACTGAATGAACAGAGAAGTGGAGAAGCCACCAATCACCTCCTCTCTCATCAGATCCTCAATCCAAAAGGCTTGAGGTCCTCCCTCAGCCTCGCCTTACTGCTTCCCGTCTCCTATCTGTCCTCAATCCAAGACCTCTATGGTTAATTTTGGTCAGCTAGTGGCTAGCTCTGCCCTCTGACTCAAAGCAAACTTTGTCAGAATGCAATCAAAATATCACACACATCTCTGCTTATTCTGACCTAGTTGTTTTGTGGTTTTGGCATCTTGACTATGATGTATCATGGAGACATTCTTCTCTGGTCATGTCTCTTTGGGGTAACAAATGCTTCTTGTGTTTGGATGTCTGTTTCTTTCCCTAGATTTTGGGGATTTTCTACTATACTTTCATTGAATACATTTTCTATGTATTTAGTGTTTATACCTGCTCTTTCTTGTATCCTGTGGATTCATAGGTTTGGGTGTTTGGTCAAATCCTAGAGTGCTTGGATCCTGGGACCATTCTGGTTTAATTTTTTCCCGTATTGATGTTTGAATGTTGTGTTTCTTCAAGCTTGTTTTTCATCCATGGTATTTGGTCTTCTGCTTTCTACAGTCTACTGGTGGTGCTTTCCACTCCTTGTATTAGTTGACCAAGCTTTTTATTTCCTAAATTTCTGTCCTTCCATCTCAATTTCTTGCTGAATTTCTTACCCAGATTACTGATTTCTCTTCTTTACTGCTGACCTTCTTTCATATCACTCAGTGATTCTTTTAGAAGCAGATACTGAATTCTTAGGATTTAATAATTTCAGAATCTTTGGATTCAGGAATGAAGATGTGATGACCTCTGTGGGCATTGTGCTGTCTTGCTTGTTTTTCATTTTCTTGTATTTTTATGTGCAATGTGGGCATATATTAGTTTTGATTATGTCTTCTGGTTTGATTTAGGATCTTCTTAGTTACTAGTCTACTCTGGAAAGTCCAATTCCCAGTAATACTTAATGTCTCAGTTAGGGTTTCTATTGCCGTAAAGAGATACCATGACCATAGCAGCTGTTATAAAGGAAAAACATTTAATTGGGGTGACTTATATTTTCAGAGGCTTAGTCCATTATCTTCATGGTGCAACATGGTGGTGTGCAGGCCGACATGGTGCTGGAGAAGGAACTGAGACTCCTACATCTTGACCCACAGGCAACAGGAAGTGAACTAAGACACTGGACTGGCTTGAGCACATATGAGACCTTAAAACCCACCTCCACGGTGACACACTTCCTCCAACAAGGCCATACTTACTCCAACAAAGCCACACCTCCTAATAGTGCCACTTGCTATGAGATTATGGGGACCACTTACATTCAAACCACCACACACTCAGACAGGAGAAAACAAACTGTTGTCATAGCAAAACCTCACAGCAAACACAATGCAGAAATACACTTGAAATCGATTCAAGCCAGCTAACATACTAGTAAATGAATGAGAAATGAGAAGGAAGCAGGGATGGGGGAAAGAATGGAGAATGGAAGGAACTGAAAGTAAAAAAGGAAAAGAGAAGTGTATTGTGAAGTAGAGAAAAGTGCAGCAGATACAAAAATATCTGGCTGTCAAATAAAAAAAATGTATAAGCAAAATTAGATAAATGTAAGAAGAGTAATAAAAAGTAAAAACATAAAAGTCTTTAAAAATAAAATGTTATCAAAGGATGATGAATAGCATACCAAAGAGACAAAGGGATGAATGGGAGAGACGTAAAAGAAAAACAAAGGAATGTTGGAGAGGTCTCTTTCTGAGTGATTGAGATTGGAGACTGCCAGGTCTAGTCAAGTGTCAGATGTCCACAAGAGTGCTCTTCTCTCTAGAACCTTTCTTGTGTACCAGGATCATAGGGTGGGCATACTTACCTCTGCAGTCTGTCAGTCTCCCATGCCTCTACCTTCCCAGTTCATACTCATTCATTGTAGTGGCTAATGAGCTCAATGAGGTGCTTGTCTCATGAATGCGTTGGGAGTGGAGTGTACCAAGGGAGCACTGAGAGCTCTGGAGAAGGCCCAGTCTCCATGTTTTCAGGCCGTGGAAGGTCAGATAGTCCATGGGAACTCCAGAATTTTCAGTCCAGCCAGCAGATAAGGCTGGTGGCTCCTTAAACATCCACCACTGACCACAGGCTCAGGATTCTCAGGCTTCATTTTTTTTTTTTTAAACAAAAACAAAAACAAGGTCTCAGATGTAGCCTAGGCTGGCCTCCAACTCAGGTCTCATGTCTCAACCTCCTAAAAGCCAGGATTACAAATGTGAGCCATGCCCAATTCAGACTCCAAAGTTATTTTCAAGTGATGAGTCTGACTATCAGCCACTGCGGTTGGGGTTATGGCCAATGCAGACTTCACCATTCCAGCTAAGTTCCAAGTCTCCTGGACCCCGAGACTCTCTGGCATGTCAGCAACTGACCCTCTGCCTCCCTACAACTGCCGCCCACAGCTTTAAACAATTCTGGGAATATGGAAGGTTGTTTCCAGTCTCCCAGACTTTTGTTTGTTCCTTGTTATTGGGGTAGCTCAGTCTTAAACAATAAGATCTCAAGACAGTGCCTTGCCACAGACCTCTAAGACTCAAGTCATAAAATAGAGCTCCCCTTCTGTTGTTCTGTGAGTTCAAGAGCATTGCACTAGCATCTACTTAGCTTCTTGTAAAGGGTTCATGTTTCTTCTATAATATTGGGATGCTGGGGGATGTCTTTCTGTACGCTGTGAATATATGTTGTTCCCATTGGCTAATAAATAAGCTGCTTTGGCCTATGGCAAGGCAACTTAGAGGCAAGTGGGAAATCCAAGGAGAGAGACAGGAAAGAGAAAGGAGGAGTCTGGAGAGACTCCAGCCTACAGCCCAAGGAGCAACATGCCAGCAGACCAGTAAAGCCATGAAACACTTGGCAAAACATTGATTAATAGAAATGGGTTAATTTAAGATACAAGAGCTAGCTAGCAAGAGGCCTGCCATAGGCCATACAGTTTGTAAATAATATTAAGACTCTGAGTGATTATTTTATAAGCTGCTGGGGGACCACCAGGCCATGTGGGACCTGAGAAAACTTTTGACTACAGTGGGAGACTAACAGGGCAAGTGAGTATATAAAAATTTGCCTGGTAAGAGAGAGGCAAGAGAAAAACCAAGGACACCAACTCCCTGTATAATATTGCACTCTTCTGGTAACTAATCCATTTCTCTGAGAATTTTCTCATTATAGTGACATTGATCTTTTCATGAGGGCTCTGCCATAACCCGATCACCTCTCAGAGGCCTGCCTGTTAGTACTGTTGTATCAATGTATTAGATTTTTACATCAACCCTAGTTGAGGGAGAAACTGAATTTAATCCATACAGGGGGTGTGTTTCCATGGCTTTTAGTATATTCTCAAGGTTGTACAACATCACCATCATTTGATTTTAGAACCCTTTTGTGGTGGTTTGAATAAAAATGACCCCCATAGGCTCATATATTTGAAAGCCTGGTGGCCAGTTGGTGGAACTGTTTGGGAAGGATTAGGAGGTGTGGCCTTGTTGGAGGAGATGTGTCACTGGGGGTTGGTTTTGAGGCTTCAAAAGCTTAAGCCTTTCTTAGTTAACTCTCTCCCTCTCTGCCTTGTGCTTCCAGATAAAGATGTGAGCTTTTCACTACTGCTCAAGTGTTATGCCTGTCTGCTGCCATGTTCATGGCCATGGTGGTCATGGACTAACCCTGTGAAACTGTAAGCAAGCCCCTAATAATCTCTTTCTTTTATAAGTTGCTTTGATCATGGTGTCTCTTCATAGCAACAGAAAAGTTACCAAGACAACTTCTATCACTCCAAAGAAACTCCAAACTCATTTACTGTCATGTCCCATTATCCCTCTCCCACCTTCTTAAACCATTTGTCCACATTCTACCTCTGTCTACTTGCCTGTTATGTAAAATTTCATAAAATTGGAATGATTTACATTTTTTTTATTTCTGGCTTCTTTCTCTTGGCATGCTTTCAAAATTCATCCATGTAACAGTACTTCAGTTTTTTTTTTTTATTGCTAAATAATTAACATTCTGTTTTTGGATATATCACATTTCATTTACTCAAGCTCTATTTGATTGACAGTTGGACTGCTTCTACTCTTTTCCATTATGAATATGAATAATGACATTAAGGATAATAATGCCACTATGAAAGTCTGCAGATTGTGCATGTATTTTTCATTTCTCTTGGTCACATAATACCTAGGAGTGGAACTGCTGGATTGTATAACTATTTGAACACTTCTGGGTGGGTGATAAACTGTTTTCCTCAGCAACCTCCCCATTTTTCTTTCCTACCAGGAGTGTATGTACAGAGTTCCCCCAACACTGGGTATTCCTTCATTTTAAATTTAGACATTATAAGTGATATTAAATGGTGTCTCATTTTGGCTTTGTTTTGAATTTCCACGATGATTAATGATATTGAATATTTTTTAAATGTTTAATGACAACTGGCATATCTTATGAAGAAATATCCATTCATTTCTTGGTATAATCTTCCATCTTTTAAAATGTTTTTTTCTTTCTTTTTTGTTTTCGTTTATTTGGTTTTTTCGAGACAGGGTTTCTCTGTGTAGTTTTGGTGCCTATCCTGGAACTCACTCTGTAGATCAGGCTGGCCTCGAACTCACAGAGATCCGCCTGGCTCTGCCTCCCGAGTGCTGGGATTAAAGGCGTGCGCCACCACCACCCGGCCTTAAAATGGTTTTGTATTCACAGGAAAATTGAGGATATGGTACAGAGAATTTTCATTTGCTTCTTTCTACATATACAGCCTTCCCAACGGTCAACACTTCCCCTTAGTAGCGCATTACCACCACTAAAGAAACACTTTGATCCAGCATTCTTGCCCAAAGTCTATAACTTACCTTAGGGTCCAGTTTTGGGGTGATAGACTGAATGGGTTTGAAAATGTATAATGACATTTATTCACCATTATAATACAGAGACTATTTTAACTGCCGTAAAAATCCCCTGCACTCTAACTTTTCATTCCCTCTCTTCCTTTGGTAACTACTGATTTATTTTTTTACTGTCTTACTGTTTTTCTTTTCCTAGAATGTAATAGAGTTGGAATTGTATAGTTATGTAGCTGTTTTCAGGTTGTTTTGTGTATTAGTCAGGGTTCTCTAGCGTAAGAGAACTTATAGAATGAATCTCTCCCTGTGTGTGTGTGTGTGTGTGTGTGTGTGTGTGTGTGTATAATTAATTTATTAGAATGGCTTACAGGCTGAGGTCCAGCTAATCCAACAGTGGCTAGCTATGGATGGAAGGTCCAAGAATACAGTAGTTGTTCAGTCTGCAAGGCTGGGATGTCTCAACTGGTCTTCAGTACATGCTGAGATCCTGAAAAAGTAGGCTCTAATGTCAGTAAAGGAATGGACTTGCTAGCGAGGCAAGAACAAGCAGGCAAAGAGTGAGGCTTTCTTCTTCCAAGTCCTTTCCATGGGCTTCAGTAGAAGGTGTGGCCTAGACTGGAGCCGAATCTTCCCACCTCACAAGATATGGATTGAAGGTGTGTCTTTCCACCTCAAAGATCTGGATTAGAAGTGGTTCTTCCCACTTCAAATGATTCAATTAAGCAAAAATCCCTCACAGGTGTGTCCAGCCATTTTTGGGGTTTTAGTTATTTCTAGAAATAGCCAGGTGGACAACTGAAATAGCCATCAGCTTGTTTCACTTTTTCATTTGCATTTAGCTTTCTTTTGGTGCTGAACAGTACTCTATTGCTGGAAAGTACCACAGTTTACTTACATCCTGATTCAAGTTCACTTTGTTTGCTTTCAAGTTTGGCAAGCACAGATAAAGCTGGTATAATGTTTTGTACAAAGCCATAGATGGTGACCGTGCCTATAATCCCAGCACTTGGTAGGCAGGGGCTGAAAGAACTTGAGTTCACTGTTATCTTTGGCTACTTGGTGAGTTCTAGGCCAGGCTGTGCTACAAGAGTCCCTGTCTACAAAAGAAAAACAAAACAAATCATGTTGACTTGAGTTTCTAAGTCACTTGAGAAAACACCAAGAGGTGTGACTAATAGAGTACATGGTAAGAGTATACGCAGTTTTGTAAGAAACTACCAAACTGTCTCCCAAGGTGGCTGTGCTATTTTGCTTTCGCATGAGCAACATCTTTATTTTAGTTTGGTTTCTATTGCTGTAACAAAACACCATGACCAAAAGCAACTGGGGAGGAAAGCAAGTATTTTAACTTACAGCTTGTATTCCATCGTCCAGGGAAGTCAGGACAGGGATTCAAGGCCAGAACCTAGAGGTAGGAACTGAAGCAGAAGCCATGGGGGAATGCTGATTACTGGCTTTCTCCTCTCCCCCTTCTCCTCCTTCTCTTTCTTTTCCTTCTTCTCCTCCCCTTCCCATATCCCTTCCCATTCCCCTTCTTCCTCCTCCTCCTCTTCTTCTTTTAACACTGTTTCCTTTTTTTAATTATGATTTAAAGGGTCTTTTAAAATTTTTTTATTCTTCTCTCATATATTACATCCTGACTGTAGTTTCCCTCGCTCCACTCCTCCCAGTCCCCTCCCCCAACCTCCCTTCTTCTGCACTCCTCTTCCATTTACTTTCAAAAAGAAGATCGGGCCTCCCAGGGATACCAAATGAACATGGTATAACAAGTTACAATAAGACTAGGCACAAGCCCTCATATGGAGGCTGGGCTTGGCAACCCAGCAGGAGGAAAAGGGTCCCAAGAGCAGGCAAGAGTCAGAGATACTCCCCACCTTCACTGTTAGAAGTCCCACATGAATACCAAGCTACACAACCATGATGTATATGCAGAGGACCAGGTCAGACCCATATAGGCTCCACGATTGTCGCCTTAGTCTTTGTGAACCCCTATGAGCCCTGCTTAGCTGATTCTGTGGACTGTGTCCTCGACCCCTCTGGCTCCTACAATCCTTCCTGCCCCTCTTCTGTGAGGTCCCTTTGCTTACACAACAGGGATACTTGCTCAAGTGTAGCACAACCCACAGTGTGCTGGGCCACTCACACCAATCACTAATCAAGAAAACGCCACCATAGACTTGTGTGCAGGCTAATCTAATGAAAGCATTTTCTCAATTGAGGTTCCCTCTTCCCAGATGACCCTGATGGCTTGTGTCAAATTCACACAAAATGTCTAATCAGGAGAAGCAATAGATGAGATTTCTCTGCCATTAAACTTTTTTTAAACGTTGTATGTATGTATGTATGTATGTATGTATGTATGTATGTGTGAGTTCATGGATACCTGTGAGTGCATGTATGCCAGAGCATCCTGTGGAGGTCAGAGGGCAATTTACAGGTGTCATTTCTCTTTTACCTTTTGAGTTCCCGGGACTGAACTCAGGTTGTCAGGGTTGGCAGCAAACTCTTTACCCACCTCGGACATACCCTAGTCCTTTCTGCTGTTTTCACTGATGAGTTTGTTTTTTTTAAATGCTGAGTTTAAAGAGTGCATCTATATATAAAACAATAGATCCTGACACAAATCCATTATTATTTTAACTGCCAAATCTCTCCAAGTTTCCCAGTCCTGGATGTCACATTTACAGGCTTCCTGGTCACACAGGAGAAACATTTTACAGTTCTGTGTGGCACGTTAGCCTGAGGGCAGTGACACTCTGGTTCCATCTGCAAAGAAAGTATTACCTTTCTTTGAGTGGCTAGTGAAGGTCTGTGAGAGAAAACAATCCAATCACTAACCTTTCTTTACCATCCCGCACTCACTGACTCTGAGAAACACAGGAGGAAGTATAATTTTAAAAATGAAAGAGCTACTGGAAATGACACTGTGAAAAATGATACTGGAGAAGAACACAGCCAGTCGCGGGGTGCGACACCGCACGCCACGCTGTTGAATTTGGGGGTGTCTCCACAGCCAGGGACCGCATCTCAGGCTGCAGGGCCCTAAGTCCCGCTTCCGTCTGCGCCCGCGGCCGGGTCACTGCGTCCCCATCCCCGCCCCCGAACTTCCAGCTCCGATTGGTTTCTTTCACGGACCCGCCCCTCGGAACCGCCCAATGAGGAGGCTCCCGACGCAGCTCCGCCCTCCCTGCCGGCAGCGTGGGCTGCGGTGCCTGAGACCCGGGGATGGCGGCGTTGGCTGCGCGCGCGGGTGGGCTTCTGCGGCTGCGAGCTGCCGGAGCGGAGCGGCGGTGGTGCGGACTGCGCTGCGCTGGGCTGGTGCAAGGCTTCCTGCAACCCGGAGGCGAGGACGCGGCCCAGAAGCGGCGGGTGGCCCACTTCACCTTCCAGCCGGACCCGGAGTCCCTGCAGTATGGTGAGAGCCCGCGATCTCCCTGCATCCCGCGTCCATCCCCGCCTCGGGTCGGCTTGTGATCTTGTTGCTCTTTCTTGGTGACTCTTCCCTTCAGATGCAGCCTCTGGGCACCTTCGGGATAGGTGAGAGGGCACCCTGCCTTCTGCGAGGGCCCAAGGGTGCAGAAGAAGTGTCCAAAGAACGCCCCTCTTGTCTGGAAGCTTCATCCCTGCTTTCCCATATCAGGCCCCTTAGGTGTTACCTTGCCAGGACTGGATCACTAATTTGAGGAAGCAGCCTGTAAAAGACTTTTCTTTCTTCTTATCCCCACCCCCTTTTCCATTTGCAAGGGAAGATTAAACCTAGGGAGTAAATAGTAGAATTTAATTTTCGCAAGGTCACGAAACAGGTTCTACCTACAGATGGGAAAGAATCCAGACTTCTGTTTGAGCCTAATACTGAGCTCCTGCTGGGCTCTGCTGTCATTTTTCCAAGCAGAGGTAATCCATACAGGTGGTGGGAAAGAGCAAGTGGAAGGGTATGGGTCAGGCTCCTATTGTGCCGCCTTTGTTACACTCTGCTTCTCCTACAGGTTTTGTGTAGTCGCCTAAGATCCCATAAGGACACCTGTCCCGCTTTCTTGTCTAATGACTTCTCCCACGCCGGGGCTGGTATTTTTGGAAGCCCGTCTTTACTTGTGAACAATAATTGTTGAGAGCTTGCTATTGGTGAAATTGACATTCCTCATCTCATTTGGTTCATAGGACAAGTTTTAATTTCCATGTGATAGGTCCTGTTTTAATTTTTGCTTTGCAGTCAGATAAACTGAAGCCTTGAAACGGAGTATTCAAGAGTACACAAGGTATAAGTTGACAGGTACTTGTAAAGTTTGGAATCTAGTAAGCTAGATTTCAAAACTACCACTCTATGTAAGGCAATAAAGGCATTTAGAAATAATTTACCCATCAGTCTTCCCAGTTTTGTGAAATAGTAGATTAGAAAGATGAATAGCAGTTGATTTTTTTCCCCTCCCAGCCTTCAATACTGTCTTCACAGCAAAGAAACTTTGGCCTAGTCATAGAGAAATAGAGCACAGGTCTTTATTCTCCCGTCCACAATTGTGAAATGACTAAAATCTGAGTGATGTCATGTCTCTATGTTGTTACTATAAAAAAACGGTACAAGCATATTACAGATAAAAGGCATAAGTTAGAAAAAAGTAAAAAAGTGTTTGGTACCACTCATGGTAAATGCTGCTAAGCCTTTAAGGTTCATTCTTCCAATTCACTGTATTTTCTGTAATTAGAAAAATTTTCCTGTGATGCTACAGAGTTTTGATAACATGTATAATTCAGAAGTGAGAGTCAATGTCTTGAGTTTGGCCTTGTGCCTATTTCCTGGGACTTTGAAGTCATCACTTCTACAAGCCTCAGCTTCTCTATAATTAAGGGATTAATGATGGCAGCTACTTCGAAAGGAGAGGAGAGCTAAGGGCTGAATGTCACTAATACATTTAACACAGTGTTGCTAATATATTTAACATACTGTGGCACCTTGGAAGTGCTAACTCAGTGAAGAACAACTTTTAATAGACACCATCATACGTTTGTTATAGTTTTACAGTGTTATAAAATATGAAGATAGATATATTCCATGCGCATCCCCCCCCAATGATAAAGCCACAGAGATTAGAGTTCTCACTCAAAAAATATGAATGGTTTAATGGAGTTTTAAAATGCTCACTTCAGATGCCCAGTTTATACTTAGTCTGTGTAAGAGTGTTTGTCATATTAAGTGTAAGGGGAGAGGCTATAAGAATGTGTTAGGGTTAATGCTGGGAATCCCAGGAACACACCCTTGTGATTTTGTACTAACCACTGTATCTTATGTTTGCATTTGTTTCTCTTCTGCTGATGAATCTTTTCCCATAATATTTGCTCACTAGTTTATGTTCTTTTGTGACAGGCATTTCTTTTTCCTTTTTCATATTTTGAAAGTTGTGCCCTACGTCTTTTTTTCCTGTCGATGCTGACTCCATTGTTGAGTAATTGCTTTTATCTAGGGTTGTGGTGGGCATCAGTCTGTTATCTTCACAATAATCACATAGCTAGATGGTATTATGTTCATTGTACATTGAGGCTCAGAGATGTTTGTGGCCCTCCCAAGTGTGGTAAAGAGCAGAGTCAACTTTCAAACCCCATTGTGTCTTACTTGAAAGTCTCATAAATAGTGCTAAAATTTTGCATATTACAGCTGTTAATGAAGATACCAACTCTCTGCCCTTCACATGTGCTGAAAATGCTTTTCTTTCTTTCTTTCTTTTTTTTTTTTGAAAATGCTTTTCATTCATCCACATTGTTTGATTTCACATGGAAGAGGGACTGCTTCAGTTGGTGGCCAGGATCAGCTTCCAGTAGGTGACTTTTAAGCTGCACAGTGAACTGAGACAAGGGCTTATCTTTGTAAAGACCACTGGAATATTGTTTTTCAGGTAGAAACAAGATAGAAACTGAGTAGGTTTAAGGCCTGGAGTAGGGTCATCCTTTGTATCAGCAGAGAAAACTGTAGTCAGATTTTCCTTTGGGCCACCAGCACACAAATAATGACATAGAGACTTATTATTAATTATGAAAGCTTAGCCTTAGTTTAGGCTTGTTCCTAACTAGTTCTTATAACTTAAATTAAGCCATATTTTTTAATCTCCATTCTCCATGTGGCTTGTTACCTCATCTCCATACTACCCATCCTGCTTCCTCTGCTGTCTGACTGGTGGCTCTGACTTTCTTCTTCCCAGAGTTCTCTCTCTGCCCAGAAGTCCCACCTATACTCTCCTGCCTATTGACCGTTCAGCTTTTTATTATACCAATCAGAGCAACACATCTTCACACGGTGTACAAATATCCCATAACATTTCCCCCTTTTTGTCTAAGTAAAAAGGAAAGGTTTTAACTCTAACATAATAAAACTATATACAATAAGAACAATTATCAGCCAGGCGGTGGTGGCACACGCCTTTAATCCCAGCACTTGGGAGGCAGAGCCAGGCGGATCTCTGAGTTCAAGGCCAACCTGGGCTACAGAGTAAGTTCCAGGACAGGCACCAAAACTACACAGAGAAACCCTGTCTCAAAAAACCAAAAAAAAAGAACAATTATCAGTTAAGAATTACATTCACAATGTCCAGTTCATTTGTATTTAGCATAAACTTGAAGAAAATACTCTATTATTATCTGTCTTGGTGAGTCCAAAGTTTTATACATAAGCCATTTTTTTAGCATAACTTGTTTATTATCATCCTAAAAATATCTTTTTAGACCTTAAAACATTTTTTTAGATGAACAACTTAAGCTTTTATGTTTTTCAACTTTATAAATTTTACATCTCCTGTGTAAGTTTGTTTTTCTGAATTTGGTAACAAGGAAAACTGTAACTATAACTCTCTAGTCTTCAACACCATAAAGGATCCAAGAAGGATAAAATATTACCTGAGTAAACAGGAAGTGCAGAGCAAACAACTTCCAAAACTATGGAAATGACAGAGACATCTTGCTGCCTGGATAGTCATCCAAGGTTCCTCTGCAACATTGGAACATCCGTCTTGGGCCTACAGGCTTAAAATTTCTGACAGACTTTTTTGTGAAGCAGGAATTTTTGAAGGGCTGTCCTACCTTGTCTTGGCAAAGTTCGGCAGTTGCTTTCTTTTGTGTCCTGCTTGTCCAGTTTGGACAGCATACTGTCAGTAGTCGAGGAAAGGGCAGTTTCTTTGCCCAGTGGTTAACTTTGCCACAATGAAAGCAAACTCCATATGGAGGTTCCTTGATGCTCATCATCTCTGAAGTAGATTGGTGTTGCCAGGAGCAGATGTGTCTCCCTATCATGGAAATCCTTATGTTATTAAAACATCTTAAATGCCATAATATTCTGTAGGTCTCTGAAATGTTTGAAGACCATCTATCTATCTAAAATGTATCTCTGTTTATTTAACCTTGAAAATATACCTAACATGACTATAAGTTTGTTACAGATGACTAACTACTAACCTGCATTTCTTTATTATCCTAAGTAGCTTTCAAAGATTAGAACTTTACAGTTTTAAATGAGCTGTATAGGTACAATACCTTAAGAGTAGAAACATAAATACATTATAACAAAAATAACCTTAAATTTGTGTCAATATACAAAAATCTTTATCATTGTAAAATATTTGAGACTAGTAGTTGCTTAAAAGTAGATTCAATAATCTACTCTTTTATCTTGTCATTCCTATATACCCCCTCTTCTTTATTTTCAGGAAGAAATCCCTGAATCAACCTACTTTGTTTAGTTTCTTCCCTGACCATGACCAGTAACAACTTGTAATCAACCCACCTAAATGATGACAAACATTCATAACCCACCGAATGACCAAAAATCACTCACTCCACCTCTTGGGAATGTGGGCAACATGTTTTCTAGACAGATTCCTGTTGTTTGGAGCGGGGTGGAGGGGTGGGAAGAGGGAGGTGATGGTATCTCTAGGAGACCCTGAGAAAATTGGGATAATGGTCAAGTCTTGGGAGAGCTAGCTGTATCATTTGAGGGAGAGTGCAGGGCTTATCTGAAATCCTGGAGAGAGCACTCCGGAGGCTGAACCCTCTCAGCTAGCAGCTTTCAAGTTGTCCTGGGTGCAGATTTTTGTGGAAACTGTAACAGAGGCATTCTGAGAGGCTGGATAATCTGGGCTGCTTAAAATATTACTTTACTCTTTCTTTAAAGACTTTATTATTTTTAAACTATTTTTTTCTCTATGACTGTCTACACCCATTTTCTTTTCTTTCTTTAGCATCTAAGCACATTTTTAAGCACAGTGTATTTGTTCAGAGGTTTTCTTGGTCTTGAACTGACTTTCTGTATGTCTGCAGCCTCCTCTGACCTTGTGAGCCAAATATTAAACTGCTAGGCTACAATGCTGCTCTGCTTAGCACATGGAGCACTGGTGGCTGGCTGCATCCCTGGATTCCATGAGAGCCTAGCTTCATGCTGGTAGATACCGTTCCTAAGCCACATTTACCCACCCCACCCCTGGGAATCTGTTGTGTCTGCCTACAGCAGGTATTTGTACCCAGTGCTGTCTGCTCAAGTGCCTAGCTGCATAGCAGGGCTTCTTAAAGGAGCTGAGCCTCTGTTCACTGAGCCTACCTGAGAGACCACGTTGCCAGGAAGCTGCTTGTTCAGAACTTTTTTTTTTTAAGCTTTCTCAGGCCATATATGGATATATGTAGTCAGATGTTGGCGTCATATGTAGTCAGATTTTCCTTTGGGACACCAGCTCACAAATAGCCACATGGAAACATATTATTAATTATGAAAGCTCAGCCTTAGCTTAGGCTTGTACCTAACTAGTTCTTATAACTTAAATCAACCCATATTTTTTTTTTTTTTGGTTTTTCGAGACAGGGTTTCTCTGTGTAGCTTTGCGCCTTTCCTGGAACTCACTTGGTAGCCCAGGCTGGCCTCGAACTCACAGAGATCCGCCTGGCTCTGCCTCCCGAGTGCTGGGATTAAAGGCGTGCGCCACCACCGCCCGGCTAAACCCATATTTTTTAATCTATGTTCTTCCACGTGTCTTGTTAACTCTTCTCCTCTGCGTCTGGCTTCCTCTGCATCTGGCTCACGGCTCTGCCTTTTTTCTTCCCAGAGTTCTCTCTCTGCTCAGAAGTCCCACCTATACTCTCCTATCTAGTGATTGGCCATTTACACCAATCACAGCAACACAATACATCTTCACTCAATGTGCAAATATCCCACAACAGAAAACGTCTGTGATTGAGATGCTTCAGACAGTGGGGTATGCAGGTCTTGTGATGATCAGGGTAGAAGAAGGACTTTTGTTCGTGGGGATGGTTTTCTTTTTTCAGTATTATACAGGTGGGAATATTATGAGTAAAGTCAGATTAGGAAGCATGGTGTTTATTTGAGCAATGGGAAGTGATTTTATTTGGAGGAAAAAAGGAATACATATGAAAGAATAAATGAGGGTTTATAATTAAGGACAAAGTTTGGGGAGATAATATATCACATGCCTGCTGTGCACTTCAGACTATGATGGGTGCATTGCACTTTGTTTTAAATTCTTTTGTGCTGTGGGAGGCCATCATTTATTTCTAGGAAGAGAGTGATTTGAGGAGTTCTTGTGTTACTAGCAAAGTTAGTGGGAAGTATTGCTGGATGTGTAGTGAGGAGCTGAGAGAGGAGCTCTTGAGTATTGTCATTCCTCAGATGAGAGGGAGTAATTGAACTTGGAGTGTCAGTGGGTGGTAGGAATTTTGGAGACATTGACCCAGTTTAGCTCTGTTTTACCAGTGGCTGCTGGGGAAGGGTGTTGAGGATGACATCATCATTTGTAGCAAGGATAACTAAAAGGGTGCTGTGTTACTTTTCTTTTTGCTGGAATACAATACCCAGACAAACAGCAATTTAAGGAAGGAAGGATGTATCTTGGCTCACAGTTCAAGGGTGCAGTTCATCATGTTGGAGAGGTCTTGGTGGCAGGAATTTGCTGAAGCTGGTCACATGACATCTGCAGTCAGACAGCAGAGTGGGATGAATGCTGGTGCTCAGTCCTTCTCTTCTTCTTCTTCCTTTTTTTCTTTCCGAGACAGGGTTTCTCTGTATAGCTTTGCGCCTTTCCTGGAACTTGCTTTGTAGACCAGGCTGGCCTTGAACTCACAGAGATCTGCCTGCACCTGCCTCCCGAGCGCTGGTATTAAAGGTGTGCGCCACCACCGCCCGCCTTCTCTTTTTTTAATGCAGTCCAAACCCAGACTGGTGCTGCTGGCATTAAGGGTGGGTCTTCCCACCTCAATTAATGTCCTGTAGATGACCCCTTACAGGTGTGTCTTGAGGCTTCCCTCCTAAGTGAGTCTAGATATTGTTAGGTTGACAGTTGGTACTTAACCATGATGGAGGGTGTGGTAGTTTGAATGTAATCATAATCTTATAGGGAGTGGCACTATTTGGAGGTGTGGCTTTTTTTGGGTGGGTATGTGCTTCCTGGAGGAAGTATGTCACTGTGGGGGCAGACTCTGAGGCTTCCTATGCTTAGGATAATGCCCAGTGTCCCAGTCAACTTCCTGATGCCTGTGAGATGTAGGACTTTTAGCTAACTACTCCTCCAGCACTGGGGAGAGTGGGGGTGGGGGTGGGGGAGTGGGCGGGACTACCCACCACCCCCACATTTCCCCAGAGTGCTCTTGAGTGGGAGCAGCAGGAAATAGTAGTTAGAAGGATTTAGAGTGTGGAGATAAACAGGATAGCCTCGAGAGGGCCTGGAACCTATTCCAAGGGCCCTAACTGTCTCTGCCCTAGGGTATTTATAGATATGCCAAGGGTTGGAGCAAAAGACCGCCCAGCACAGCCAAGTGCAGACCATCTCAGACACCTGCACTTAGGTCCGTGGTCCAATCAACCTCTCTATGCAGACCTGCTGGGTAAACCTGAAAATGGGCTCGTACACAGCACCATGTCTGCCTGCATGCCACCATCCTCCCCGCCATGACAATAGTGGAACCTCTAAAACTGTAAGTGAGCCCCCTCAATGAAATGTTTTCCTTGTAAGAGTTGCTGTAGTCATGGTGTCTCTTCACAGCAGTAGAAACCCTAAGACAGGGTAAGGTGCCAGGACCACTACAAGTAGGGAATTCTGGGGCACATTCCCATCTTCGGAGAAAGGGAGGGCACAAGAAGGAGACTTAAATTTTAACTGATTTGAAGTATTGGCGGATATAGTACCATGAGGCAGGCTGTCGGAATGGTAGTCTGCCGCTAAAACAACTTGATGGCAAAGTTGGTCGTCCTTGCGGCCAGATGATTCCCTCTTGGACCTGTTGGATTTGGTGTTGCCCAAAATGTGACCTTGTGAGACAGGCTGTGAGGGAGGTCACATTATCATCTACACTTTAAGAATGAAGACGTTGAGACACAAAGACAATAACTTTCTATTTTCAGGCATTTAAATGTAAGAACGGGGCCACGTTCTACTGAACAGTCTCCTAATGTTGTTCACACATCACATGGGTGAAGGGGCTTCTCTTACTGTTTATTAATTATAAAACTCGAGGACTCATATAAGATGTGAACCTGAGATAGTTACCATGGCTGAGATGCACCTGCCACACTGCCTCCTGGCTCCCAACTCGGGGCCACTCTGTCTCTCATCCTGGGTCCTCCAAGGTCCTCCAAGCCAGCAAGCAGCTCTCCTCTGTGCCTCTTGTCTCAGCTTGAGTCCCTGCCCTGACTTTCCTCAGGGGTGGACTATATAACCTGTAAGATTAAATAAACATTTTCCTCTCTGGGATGCTTTTGGTCATGGTGCTTATCCCATCGACAGGAAGGCTAACTAGAACAACAGGCTAGAGAAAGATTTAAGGAAGACAACTTTTAAATGAGACAACTGTAGCCTGAAGAAAAGTACTCTATGAAGTAATTGTGGACATTTGGTGTGATTGTGTGTTCTTTGACGTGGGTGATGTAATGATAATTTCTGAATGAATTCTTACTGCCTTCAGAAACAAGAGTATAAAGAGGCCATTATTCTGGGTGCAGAGGGAATCAAGGTGTCCTGATAGGGGACTGCCAAGGCCTGAAGTTTGAGCATGCAGTACTATTGAAGTGATGAGGGAGACACCTGAGGTCAAGCAGGAGCATGCCAGAGGCCAGGCTGAGAGAGAACCGTGGGAGGCTTAAAGATGGCAGAGGCTCGTTGAGGAGTCTGGCTGGGCTAGGAAGAGGAAAGGATGAGAGACTAGCACTTCGTGGTCAGAGGTTTGAAGCCAACAGCAGGAGCTGTTAGGTCCCATGCTGGTAATTAGGCCTTGACTGTCTCACGCTAGGTGACTAAAAGAACATGGAGGTTAGCGGGACAAAGGCCAGAGTGGGACTGGAATTGAAGGTAAATAGTTTCCTTCCCGTGAGATTCATGGGTAGCCTGACTGTGCTTTGAAGGCTGTTGAGGAGGAGCTGGCCTAAAGTGCCAGTAATAGTGGGCCTTGGCCAGCATTTGGTTTGCTCAAAGCTCCAAAGTCATGCGTATTCTGAATTTGCAACATCAGGAATTCTGTCGGATAAAGCTTTACTGTTCCACTCAAAATAAGGAAGTTGAGAGGGTCCTGAGTAATGCTGGACCTGACAATCGACAGCCAGCTTGCACACTGCATTTAGGGATTACCAAATATATTCTTTGAACATTGTTTTTCAGTGTTGCCTGTGGTGGCGCCTTCCGATGCACTGTTGGTTTATAAGGCACTAAGTTCCTTCCCTGTATTGCATCATATGGCCGCTCCCAAAGTCTATTTAGGAGACAGGCGTTAGCCTGCAGGGATTTTAGTTAAGCAATGAGACAGTAAGGAAGGCCTGAGTCTGACATGTTCAGGGAAGAGATTTTAGGATTCTCCAAGCACCAATGATCTGGCACACCAGTTTATCTCTAGCCTTCCTTGTGGCCATGGGCTATGGCCACTGGCTGCTCCTGGCAGTCTTAGCGTTCTTGATGTGCATTCTTTAGGCCTTTGGCTCAGCAGTCTCTGGCTCCCACTCCATACATTTCTACTGAAAGTTGTAGCTTTATCTCCAGACACTTCAACATTTGGTGGTTTTTCTCCATTTGTTTGCTTTTTTTTACACATTGTTTAGTATGCATAGGGTTTACCTCACCCACTGCCTCTCCACACTTACTTCATTTGTATCTTTTATAGATCTGTCATCTTTAAAAATAAGTTGGTAAATTCCGGTTTTTAAAATAGATTCTGTTCCTTTCTTTGTATCTCGCTTTTTTGCCATGTTATAACCAACTGTTAAGAAACTGGTTATTATTACTTTTTTTTGCATGTTTTACAGTTTTTAATATAATGTAACTTTTCTTTTTGCAGGGCAAACTCAGAAAATGAACCTCTTTCAGTCAATAACAAGCGCCTTGGATAACTCATTGGCCAAAGACCCTACTGCAGGTAAACTTAATGCGTGTGTGTGGCTGTGTTCCTTCCAGAATCAGAGACCTGAGCCAATCATGAAAGCCAAAGGATCCACTTGCACTATTAACACATGTTTATCCCATTTGTTTCTGACATGTTCTCTTGTTTAGCTTTGTTAACTTGCTCTTCTCAGCATGTGTGGTCCCATTATGATATATTGGTTTCTGACCGATACCTGTTGGCTACTTCTGTGTGTAGGAAGAAACAGGAAATGCCCCTTTGTTCAGATATTTATATATAGCATAAAGACTTGGTTTGCATGGTTATTTTTGCATCGAACTTGTTAATAGTTTTGGAAATAGTGACTTTAGTGTTTCTGTTTTTAAAATCAGTTTTTCAGTTACCATACAAAGCAGTGGGATTTACGGTAGCTGTTTCCTCCATAGGTGTCCTGCTTTGTCTAATTTGATCTATTCCTCACACCCACTCTTTTCTCTCTTGCTTCCCTACCTTTAGGTAGTCCCCCATTCTGCTTTCAATCAAATTTCATTACTCTCTCTTTCTCCTCCTCCCCGCTCCCTCAAGATCTGTTTCAGTTCTCTCATGATAAACTTTCTAGTTACACACACACACACACACACACACACACACACACACACGCACACACACACGCGCACATGCACACACATGCACATATACACATGCATGCACACATTTGTTTTCCCGTCCATTGAATGTATGAGTGTATGAATGACAGTTTGAAATGGTACTTTCCCAGTGTCACAGACACTCTCTGGAGGAGATTAGAATCCAAGCAGTCAGACCTGGACACATGCTTAGTGAGATGTGCTTGCTTTTCCTCATGCACAAGAGAACAAAATAGAAAAAAAAAGGTTTTCTAATGTATTGAGCTTTTTTATCTAAGAGGATATTAGAATTACTGATGAAGACTAATGTAGCTGGAGTTTTCTCCAGTCCTATCCAGCCCCATGGACCCCACAACCACTTATAAAATAATCACTCAGAAACTTATATTAATTAAACTGCTGGGCCATTAGCTCAGGCCTACCACTGACTAGCTCTTATACTTAAACTCAGCCCATTTCTGTTAATCTATATGTCGCCACGTGTTCCATGGCTTTACCTGTTGCCTTTACATGCTGCTCCCTGGGCGGCAGGCTGGAGTCTCTCCCAGACTTTTACCTCCCAGCCTCTCCTCTCTGTCCCGCCTATCCTATACTTCCTGCCTGGCTACTGGCCAATCAGTGTTTTACTTATTAATCAATCATAGCAACATATATTCACAACATACAGGACATCCCATAGCACACACCCACACTTAAATCCAGATTCTGATATAAGAGAAAGCAGGAGTATTTGCCTTTCTGAGTCTGGTTTATTTTACTCCATGTAATGATTTATGGTTCTACTGCCAGTGTCATGATTTCATTTTCCCCTGTGGCTGAGTACAATTTGGTTGTGTATATATATCATGTTTTCTAAACAATTTTATAGGTAACTTATGTTTATTTATTTTTCAGTTTTATTTTATTTTTAGTTATGTGTATGTGTCTGTGTGTGGGTATGTGCATTTGAGTGCAAGTGCTCATTTATACTAGAGGTGCTGGAGGTGTCAGAGCTCCCCGGAGCCAGAGTTACAGGCAGTTGTTAGCCACCTTATGTGAGTGATGGGAATGAAATGTGGTTCTTATGCAAATTCACTGTACACTCCTAACTGCTGAGCCATTTATCTATCCCAGCAACTTAATTTTCATCTTGCTGTGTTTTTCAGATTTGGTTGACTTTATATATATATGCATACTTACATATATGTGTGTATATACATGTATGCATTACCCGTACACATACAGGATTATGTGTATATATTTATACATGTGTGTATGAATTATACAAACCAAGATTATATATAAAAATACCACATTTGTATTATACAGGTATGAGTATGTATGCATATGTATAATTTCAAATCTAAATATTTAAGTTCCTTATTTTTCAAGACTTAAAATTTAGGGATTGGTTACTAATTATATTCTTTGAACATCATTTTTCAGTAATATTTGGTGAAGATGTTGCCTTTGGTGGAGTCTTCCGATGCACTGTTGGTTTACGAGACAAATATGGTAAGTGATTAACTATATAAAGAGTATTCAGTAGAATATTTACTCAAAGATCTTGGAAATATAAAGTATGTCTGTAACATTGATATATTATTGTTTGGTTGAGTTCCTTTTATTTTGGCAACATCCTGCAGAGTTCTAGGGCCTGGATTTCTCCAAATCTGTTCTAACTAGAATCTTCTAATAGTTTATGTTACACGTGTCATAGAACTGCAAAACACAAATACATTTCGTGACATGCATGTCACATCATTCGTCTCTCCAGGAACCTCTTGCCACCCACCATAGCCAAACTAAGCCCTGCTGTCTCTAATTCAAGATTCTGCCCATTGGTCTGTGTTAGTAAGAGTGTATATTTTTGTTGCTGTTGTTGTTGGTGGTGGAAATTTAACTTTTATTGCAGTACTGGCTCACAGGATTGTGGGGGCCTGGCCAGTCTGTAGGGAAACTCAGGCAGGATTCTTATGGTTCAGCCTTGAAGCCAAATTTAGTTTTGTTTGGGAAACTTCAGACTTAAAGTCTTGGGATGACGTGAGAAAGCCCACGCTATGCTGTGAAGTATCATCTGCTTTACTGAGAGCCACTGACTCAAAAGTTATTATATTCTGATAGATATCTATCTGCAAATAGCTATCTCTAGACCTGTGTCTGAGTAAACTGACAGCATTGTAGCCTGGCCGAGTTGTGGTTAAAAGTCACCACCCTGGAGCCCCCCGCCCTCTTTGGTCACAGCAGATCTGCATGGCACATAATTCCTTTCTGTGTGGTGCTTTCATTGTCTTTTCACTCAGAGGTGGAACCATCCGAGTGGGCTTCGATTCTCTGGTGCTCACCCCTCTGACTAGCTAAGGAAGGTGTTTGTGTCCTTGCTGTTCGGGACTCCTTTGTGGTGCCTTGTGTTTGGTTCCTTCTTTCACTCTTACCTAACCTTGGAGCGAGCAAAGCATTTTTAGGCTTAGGAGGAGTTGATATTCTTACACTCCTCTGCCCTGGGTGCTCAGGTCTGTTCAGGATGGGCAGTGAGGGCCTTTAAGAGTTTTAACACAATTATTGTGTGTGGAATTTTAGTTGAAGATGTGTTACATTCGTTTATGCTGTGAAATATTGGTTTAACAATGCAAAGATTCTTTTATGTTGCATTTGTTTAACTCTGTGAAGCTGTGATACTTTGCCTGTCTAAAACACCTGATTCGTCTAATAAAGAGCTGAACAGCCAATTGATAGGTAGGAGAGTGATAGCTGGGACTGCCAGGCAGAGAGAATAAATAGGAGAAATCTAGGCTCCAGAGAAGGGAAGAGCAAGAAAAGGAGAAGAAGAGGAGCACACCAGGGGCCAGTCATCCAGTAACACAGCCAGCCATGGAATAAGAAGGAAAGATATTTTATCTATCTATCTATCTATCTATCTATCTATCTATCTATCTATCTATCTATCTAATAAAGAGAGGTAAAAAACCCAGAGGCAAAATGTGGTTAAAGAGAACGAGATAATTTAAGTTAGAAAAGCTGGCTAGAAACAAGCCAAGCTAAGGCCAGGCATTCATAAGTAAGAATATGTCTCCGTGTATCTATTTGGGAGCTGGATGGAGGGCCCCCAAAGAGTAAAACCAACTATTGTGTTTCTCTGTTGCATCATTCCTGAGGTACCTGGTGTCGTGGTCCATGTGATGTATTGAGAACATTCAGTGTGTTCTTTTTTCTCCCAGTGAAAACAAGGTTCCCGTCCTCTTCTTCCTCCTGGCTGTGTGTTCTGTAAGCTGTTGAGAGACAGAGAAAGGTGGTCAAAAGGCTATCTTCCATACTGTGGACTCCTAGAAACTTTTAGATCGTTAGAAAAAACATTAAAGAAAACTTCTATACATTTGGTTTCAGAGAATGGCATATACATTGTAGACTAATTCAGGAAGTTAGAAAAACATAAAGGAGAAAGTAAACATTGCTCAGGTATTTCCAGAGATAATCAGTGGCTACATCTGAGTAGTTGTACTTGTGGAGCATATTTGAATAGGTGCGTATATATTAATTTTTAAAACACAGAATTTTACTTTTTATAACTTGATGTTCTCTCTGTGTGGTGCAGTAGCATGCTTCCAAGGACAGTCCCTTCTTGTCTGACTCAGTGTGATGTGTTTAAGCTGGGGAGCGTTTGTTTCCTGGCTCTTCCCACAAGTTCACATGTGTGCTTCTTTACTGTGTCCATTCTGTCTGGGGCATTTCATCCCTATTACCTGCTGCTGACAAAGTAGCAACTTCTAAATTTCTGCCTCTTCTCTACACCTCTTCCCTGAGCTTGAGAGCCACAGAATCACTGTTCTATCCAAATGTTCATGTTAAAGTTGTTAGCATTCAGGCCTTTACACCAGCCTGCTCTTGGGGACATGGCAGGACGCATCATCAGCAGCAGCCAAGATGTGATGCAGCCACCAAGTAGAGTACCCTCCCTATGCGCATGCGCTGTATCCCCTTATGGAAGGCAAGCTCTTCCCGCCCCTCTCTCTCCCTTTCCTTCTCTTCCCTGTCAGAGTTTGCCTCTGCACCTCCCCCAATAAACCTCCACCTGAGCTCTGTTGCATGGTGTGACTTTGTGGTATCCCCTTGGCTCCAACCGGCCAAGGTTGCCTTCCACTGCTAAACTATTCCACAAATCCCACAGTATGGTGATTTATCTTGAATGTCAACTTGAGTGGATTTAGGATCACCTAGGAGGCAGACATCCGGGCACACCTGTGAGGGCATTGCCCTTCTCATTTAACTGAGGCAGGAAGACCCACCTTACCTGTGGCTGGTCCCATTCCACGGACTGGAGTCTCGGACTGAATGAAAGAGGAGAAAGGAGAACTGAGCACCGGGACTCATTACTCTCTGCTTCCGGACTAGATGCTCTGTGACTAGCCGCCTCATGGTCCTGCCGCCATGACATCCTTACCATAATGGACTGTGACTCCTCAAACTGAGGCCAAACAAAGGGTTCTTCTTTAAGTTGCTATTCTCAGGTATTTTGTCCCAGCAAGGCGAAAGGTAACTAACGAAGTCATTTAGAATGCAGCCTTTCAAAAGTTAAGCTCTAGATGGACGCCTCTGCTGAGTCCACTTCTCAGGGAATGTTTCCTGTTTTGGTGACTACATCACGTCCAGTTAGTTGATCACGTGAGAAACCCAGGAGGTTCTGCAGTCTTCCTTCTTTTCCATCCTTCCTGTCCCGTCTGCCCTGCAGGTTTGTCCTCCTACCTAGCTTCAACTTGGTTCCTCCTTTCCTTACTACCATTGAATTTCAGAGTCTTGGATTTTTCTCCTCCTGGGCAATTTCACTTCTTAGTTAATTACCTGGCCTTTCTCCTGCCCTCCGTCTCCTTCCCTGTCCATTGCAAGTGCTGTCATTCTAAAATGCACATTTTTCAGCAGGATGGGCCGAAGACTTGAGATGTAGCTAGCCATCGAACTGACCACATTTGCTCTATTCCCTATAACTTCAGTTACAGGAGATCCTCGCCCGCCATGTTGGTTTTTTGGTGCACATTTTCTGGATCTCTTTTCCCCACCTGATTACCCAGCCGGCAGCTTGTTTTCAGGTTGATCTGTGGTAGAAGACTCACTCTTTTGCCACTGTATCTTTTATGCCTGTCAGTTACATCCTCCTTGTCTCCTCTCGTCTTGGTGTTTCTCTCCCATCTCTTCTCACGTGAAGAGGTATTTCATCCGCCCAGCTTTAGCTCCAGTGTGGTGTCAGAGTAAGTCATCGCTCCTGTGTCAAAAGCGGCTGTGACTCTTCACTTGGGAGTATGAGTTCAAATCTTTAAAGTTCCCCATTTGAAGATGGGCAGTTACTGCTCCGATCAAACGTCTGTTTTCAGAACTGAAGGGTAATGGGGATGCTGGAGAGAAATATACATATGAAAATAGTTTTTCTTACACTTACAGAAATACTCATACTTGATTCATGGCACAAAAAAAAAAAAAAAGGAAAAAAAACCCAGTTTCACATAAACATGTCTATTTAGCTTTATTTTATAAAATTATAATTTATAAAAACTGAAAAATTGTTATACTACAACAGTGAAGACACTGTTGGATAATGAGCTGACTGTGTTGGTTGTTTTCCTATCAACTTGACACAAGCTAGAGTTATCTGAGAAGAGGCAACCTAGCTTGAGAAAATGCCATCAGATTGGCCTGTGGACACACTTGTGGGGCATTTTCTTGATTAATGATCAATGTGGGAGGGCGAAGCCCATTATGGGCTGTGACATCTCTGGGCAAGTGGTCCTGGGTTGTGTAAGAAAGCGGGCTGAGCAAGTCACAGAGAGCAAGCCATTAATCAGCTTTCCTCCATGGTCTCTGCTTCTTCAGTTCCTGCATCCAGGTTCCTGCCTTGAGTTCCTGCCCTGACTTCCCTTCATGAGAGACTTTAAGCTGTAAGGTGAAATAAACCCTTTCCTCTCCAAGTTACTTTTGTTCACAGTGTTTCATCACAGTAATAGAAAGCAGACCAAGATAACCAGGAAAACCTCTTCCTGTTCTGGGAAGCCTTGTGTGTGTGGTGCTGGACGGCTCATGGCCAGTAGGTGGCAGCCTGTGCTTTGCAATGAGAGCTGGTCCTCTGGGCATTGTGCTGATCTGGAACTGCAGCCAAGCATTCTGTATTCCATCAGGAAGTAAAGGTTGAAGTTTTGCAGGTTTACTGATGTAGTATTGGAAAGCTGGACACTGCTTCGTATTACAGTGAAAAGGCTGCGTGATTACAGATTGGACTACACCAAAAGCTACAGGACTGTTCCGTGCTCAGATGGCCAGGATGGATGGGGATTTAAAAGCATCAGTTTCTCTTTTCCTTCCCCATCCTGTGATAGAACAGACTGAGTGCCTTGGAAATGAAAAGCAATAGAACATGTCCCTAGCAACTCATGGTGTACGAAGTGGCAGCTTTGAACCCGTAAAGCGTTGAGATTTGTTGCTGAGAAGCGTCAGATGGAGCGAGTGGACTTCTAGGGAGGCAAGGGACGAGA